GGGGGGGCACCCACGTCGTCACAAGGCCCTTGTCATAGGACGTGGAAAGACGTGATGGCAGAAGCAGATGTCAGGCTGTCGTGGGGCCAGGAGCCCCAGAATTCGGGCACTCTTCTAGAAGCTGAACCGGCAGGAGCCTCCAGAAGGAGCCCGCCCCGCCCACACCTGGATCTTAGCCCCGTGAGAACCCCTGTCGGCCCTCGGCCCTCCAGACACGGGAGGATCCATCGTGTTGTGTGAACCCAGGGAGTTTGTGCTCCTCTGTTGAAGAAACAGCACGACATGCGTCTTCAGGGCAGGTCTTCTGTGGTGATATGGACGCGACCCCTAGTGGGCCACGCACCTGAGGAGACCGTTCCAGAAAAAGAAAGAGAAATGGTGTCTGGGGGCTGGGGGAAGAGGTCAGCCACCCGGAGCCCCAGGAGCTGAGGGACGTCACTGGGCCGCGGGCCATGGGCTGCGGACCTGTCCCCTCCTGTCCCCTGCCTTGGCCATCGGGGTCCTGGCAGGTGTGTCAGCAGCCCAGTGTCCCCCGTAGGCTGACCCGAGCCTCCAAGGGGAGATGATGGGAAAGCGCGCTGAGCCGCTGCAGAGCGCACATGGTGCGGGGTCCGTGTTGGAAGCCAGTCTTGAGGTTGAGCGATCTTGAGAGCATCTCCCGCCTCCCGAGTGCTCGCCACATGCCAGCCAGCGTTCCCGGCGCTCGTCCATGTTACAGACTGAAACCACGGCTCGGGGGCTGGCCCAGGCTCCCCACCACGGACCCCAGAGCTGGGCTGCCCGGGGCTGCCCGACCTATCCCTCTCCTGGGCCCACTCACACAGCCCCTGGAGGATGGCAGTGGCAGGGCCCCCTTCCCAGGATGTGCGGAGGGAATGCACGGGGCATTCCCATGCATTCCATCCCCGAGGGGCCTGAGGGAATAGGAATTGTGAGATCAGGTCCCGCTGTTATCAGCAGCCCCCCTTCTGTATGGGGGTCGGTGATTCTCCTGTGTGCCCCCCACACTGACCGCTGACTGTGCATGGACACTGTGCCAGGCCCTGCGGTCCTCCACACGTGCACTCGTTACTGACGGAAATATGTCCCCAGACCATTTCTCTGTAACCCACAGGCCTCCAGCCCCACCCCCCGTGTGCAAGGTGGGGACCCTACCATCAACCTGCTTGCAGGAGGGAGGAGGAAGGAGCCTGCACCTGCGGTCTCCGTGCAGCCTGGGGCGGGGCTGTTAGCTCTGACTCCTGCCAGCTGGGCTCTCGGTTCGTTCTTCATGCAGGGAGCCCCCCGCCCCAAAGGGAGTGCAGTTCTGTTCCCCTCCAGAATATGCTGATGGTCCATGCTGGACATGTGCTGGGCACAGCCAGGCCAGCCTCCCACATGTGCAGCATGACCTCAGTTGGGAAAACACTCCCGGTAACCATCTCCAGGCCTGGGGCGGTCTTTGATCAGGAAAATCTCTGTTTATTCTATGATATAAATATGGAAGAAATTCATTTGTTCCAAAGTGGATGCAAATATACGCCAGTGGAGAGGCCTCTGGATGCCGCTCACGTTGGTGGCCCAGGCGCCATCCCTGCACAGTGACACCTGCTGGCTCTCGACCCACGCCCTCCTCACACAGTTCGGGTCCTCGGCCAGAGCAAGGACCCGCTGCGGTTTCCGACATACGTTAACTGCCTTCACTCCTCCCCAGGCCTCCGGCAGCTTCTGGCCCTGGGCCTCCAGCCTCCCTGGCTCCCTTCTTGCATCACAAACATTTACTGAGAGCCAGGCATGCGCCCAGTGCCGGAGACACAGCAGGGGGCTGGGGGCAGAACCAGCGCGTCTGGGGAGACGGAGGCACCCGAATGCAGTGATGCCCAGGAGGGGACCCGTGGCAGGACAGCAGTGCGGCAGACGGGAGCAGAGGATCTCCTGGTCCAGCCTGGAGGAGCTGGGGGGGCACGGCAGGAGCAAGAGCAAAGTGGGGGGACAGGAAGTGGGGGCAGTTCAACACAAAGTGGGGAGCGAAGAACAGAGGGGGAGGAGAAGGGGAGGCAGGACCCAATGTTGGCGGCCTCGGAGGCGGTCATGGAGAGAAGCCCAGACTTTGTCGGTTGGGCTTGAGGAGTCTGCTGTGAGTCATTTACACTTTAGTATGAATTTAAGTCAGAGTGTTGCTTCCTGCAGGTTGATCCTCATTTTACAGTTGGCGCTCACACCTCAGGCACCAGGCACATGTCACTGTTACCTTTGCAAAGATGAGAAACATTGTTTTGAAGCCTTAAGTGACCTGCAGTTGCAGAGAGGAGCCCACACTGGGCTTCTTGGGGGCGAGGCCCAGACACCCTTCCCCAGACAACGCATGCAGTCCTGGCCGCTCCCTGCAGTGCTGGCGTGACCCCTGCACCCCTGGCTGGGCCTCTGCGTCCTCCCCCCACTCCCGGGGGCACCTCTTGACCCTCCAGGGCCGGGGAGCTGCCACGCGGACGTGCCCGGGAGGCTGAGGGGGGCCGGTGCCTGTGTAGCTCACGGGGCTCAGTCTCTGGGAAGTGCTGAGAGGCAGGCCTCTCCCAGCCAGTCTCACAAATCCAGGGGGGACATTGTCCTGTGCTTTCGAGGCTCGAGAACGAGAGCAGTGTCCACTGCGCGTTCCAGCTCCATCCACACTGGGCCAAGTGCCTGGGCTGCCGCCCTGCCAGGCGGGCACTACTGTCCCCCCAGCTCCAGGGCCTCATTCATCACAGGTGCCCCCTGGGCCACAGCCTAGCATGTGTGTGCACACGCATGTGCACCCCGTCGCTGCCGCAGGGGTGGGCCTTTCCTGTGAACCAGGGCCTTACTTCCTCCCAGGGTGGTGTGGAGCGACGCTGGGGCTTGGGGAGGCCTGTGCTGTCCGCCTCCAGTGCCCCCGTGGTTTGAACATGGGGAAGAACTTGGCTGCTAGGGCCAGAAGCAGGACACGGGGAGACGTCTCAGCCCCTGGAGAGGAGCATCTTCCCTCTGCTGTCCATTTCCATCCCAGTCCCCGACAGGACAAGGGGAGGCCTGCAGCCCACAGGGATACCTTTGCAAGTGGGAGAGCAGCAGCCGTGCGGGGCCTGGGCCCCTCTGGTCGGTCCTCAGGAAACAGCGAGGGAGCAGGGCGTTCATGGGGCCGGACGGAAGGGCCGGTCAGGGGCTGGTGGGGCCAGAGGGACAAACAGGTGGTGTTAGGGTTAGGGTCAGCGGGCCTCTCCTCTCAGGATGGAGACGGTTAGCTGTCCCCAGGGGCTCTGTGGTACACATGACATAAAACCTGCCATGTGTCTCCTCTGTATCTGCCCCTGTCCACGGGCAGCCAGCCCCCCAGCACATCTCGCAGTTCACAAACCAAACCACGTATTGATTGAACAAAAGAGAAGAGCCAAACTCTTGCAAAGCTGGTGGCTTCCGGGGGCCCCTGTTGAAGGCAATGTGGTGAATACGCTCTCATTGCCTCTGTGTGCAGAATAAGGCCGGGCAGACTGCTTTCTGGAGCGGGACCCGGGGTATGTGACCCGCAGCCCCCCTGGGAGCCTCCTTCCCACCCTGGCCTGGCTCCTGTGTGCCCTCCTGCTGTCTGTCCTCCCCTGGCTCACTTTTCATCTGGTTTCACTGCCAGCTTCATCGCCCACCAGCCTGCCGGTGAGACCCAGAGGGCTCGCTGGCTGTAAGGGGGAGCTGGGCTCAGGTCGCTACTCACCCATCAAAGGAGAGAGGGAGCCGTCCGCTTGGCCGGCATCCTGGAGGGTGGGCCTGCAACCTCCAGGCTCCCAGTTTGCCGCCGACCCCTCTCAGCAGTCCGCCCACCCTCTCTGCTGCCTGCAGGCAGGATGCCGGGGGGAGAGACTCCTGGATCAAAGGAAATCCACGTTTCACAGTGTGGGAGCAAACTGCCCACCAGGGAGCTATGACTTGGGCCACCGTGCGTGCCCGAGAGCAGCCAGCCCTCCTGGTGGGGACTGTGACCTGCTGCTGGGGTTCCCGCTTGGCTCCACTGCCCGGGTGGCCTCACCATCAAGTGAGAAGGCTGGGTTTTATGGGTCTCTCCGCACTGCTTTTGTAAATTCTCACCATCAGCAAAAGTTTGGGGGTCACCTCTAGATTAACACCTTTTTTTTAAAAAGGTAATTACGTATAGAGACCTAGGGCTTGAACTATTACAGAATGTGCTTATGAGAAGCATATAGAGGGCCTTTCCTCTCTGGGGTTCGATCAGAGCTGGGTTTTGGTTTGCAAATCAGTCTTTGGAAAGGCAATCCATAGCATCTGGGTGGAAGACAGTTCCGCCCTCTGCTCTGTTCTCACGTTTACACGGGCACGAGAAGCCTGTGAAGGGCTTGTTAAAATGCAAGTATTCGGGACCCCTGTGCCCCAGGACGGATTTGGAGCCTGGAGCTGTGCCCAGGAATCTGCATTGTAAATCAGCCCCCAGATAACTGCTGTAGGTGGTCTTCTGACCACACAGCAAAAATCTCTGCCCGGGTTGTTCCAAGTGCCACGTGAGCCGGAGTCATTAAAAGCAGGGTGGGTCTTCCGTGGGAGCTCTGGGCTTTCAGGTTCTGCACCCGCAAATACCCAGGAGAAGCTTGAGAGGAAGGAGTCCGTCTGGACTCTCGGTTTATTTATTTATTCATCTTTATTGCAGTAAAATACACATAACGTGAAATTTACCATCTTAACCACTTTTCAGCATCCAGTTCAGGGGTATCAAGTATATTCACAGTGTCAGGCAGCCGTCCCAGCTGCCCATCCTCAGCCCTTTCCCATCTTCCCAGACTGGAACTCGGTCCCCACGCAACCCTGGTCCCCGCTCCTGCCAGCACCTGGCTCCCCGTCTGCTTTCTTCCTGCGTGACTGTGACTCCCGGGGAGCTCCTGTAAGTGGGATCTTGCAGCGTGCATCCTCCGGGCTCATGTAGGTGGGAGCAGATGTCAGAGTCTGGATGCCACTCTACTGCATGCAGAGACCGTGTTGTGGATTTTAAATTTTTTCTTAAAGATTTATTCATTTATTTAGAGAGAGAAAGCAAGAGAGCACGAGTGGGAGGGGCAGAGGGAGAGAGAGAGAATCCCAAGCAGACTCCACGCTGAGCATGGAGCCCAGTGCGGGGCTCAATCTCACAACCCTGAGATCATGCCCTGAGCCGATAGCGAGAGTTGAGGCTTAACCGACTGTGCCGGGCAGGCGCCCCGAGACCGTGCTGTGTCTGTCACTCGTCTGTCGATGGCCACTTGGGTTACTTCCACCGCTTGGTTATTGTGAGTAATGCTGCTGGGACCATGGGTGTGCAAATCTCCATCTGAGACCCTGCTGTCAGTCCTTTGGCAGATGTGCCCAGAAGCAGAGTTTGTGGATCACATGGTAGTTCTACTTGAATTTTTTTTTCGAGGAAGCTTGATTCTCGCCTTATTTGGCACATGGCATGCTCTGCAACATTGAGGAAGACCTTCTTGGTTGCCTTTCTACAAGTCACTTCGAATTTGCCACGTTCCCTCCTGACCTCCCAGCCCGAGTCAGGTGCTCACACCACAGTGTTGGCAGGGTATTTGAGCCTTAACCCAGGCTCCTTTGGAGAACACCCTGTGGGGCGGAGCCTCCTGCCAGCCCTGTGCATGGGCAGACCCTGCAGAAAAGCTGTGTTCCCTGGACCGGGCACACCAGCCACAGCAGCGTTCTGGGACCACCCCGGGCTGACGTGGAGTGCCACGTTCAGGGAGGACAGATCACCCACGCCTTGACAGGCAACGTTTGTTGTTGTTGTTGTTGTTGTTGTTTTAAATAAGATAAAAAAGGAAACTCATGGAGCAAAAATGTCAGCTCATTGTCACGAAGTTTATAAACAGGATGGATATCTGGACATTTCTTGTTATCCAACAACAAAAGCAAACAAAGGAGGCACGATGTTTTTTTGCCCAAGTCACTCAGTTATTTGAGACGGAGAAATGCCCCCACCTTGTAGCTCATTCGTGGTTCTGAGTACAGGGTCAGGGGATCTTGGTCGGCCGGGGAGGCCCCCGTGGTCCCTCTGCCTGGTTCCTTCAGTTGCCTGGCAACAGCCTGAACCACGGAAAAAGGAATTGCCCGGGAGTTTGAAAGCATGTGCATGTGTGTGTGCACACGGGTGCCTGACGGAACCAGGAGTGAGAACTGGCCCCCGGCTTCCTCCTTCCAGCCCGTTTCACCCTGTGGTGCCCTGACTCTGTGTGGGGGTAGGGGGCACACCCAGCACGGTCCTTGAAAGGTCCCTGGAGACGGGGCCTCTGGAGGAGACCTCTCTCTGGGGACGGGTGTTCAGAGTGCATCGGTGGCTGGCATTTGTCACAGTGATGTCTGTCACCCCACTAATGCTGGTGTCTTCCATGTGGACTGTAGTGTGGTGGTCGTCCACCGTGACCCTCTTAACAAACAAGGAACCAATGCTCTGTGCGCCCCCCTGGAGCCCTATAAATATTCTCAGTAACCTGATCTGCTGCTCAGGAGATTCCTGGTTCTGGCAACTTCGGAATCGAACTTTAGTGCATGAGAAACCGAGCCCAGAGTTGGGTGGGAAGCACGAAATGGCTTTTAAAACTCACTCACATGGGCGTCCATGAGTTAACCACAGCAGAATCATAGGAGTTGCATCCCGTGACAATGTGGAGGGGGGGGGACCCTGCAAACTCAGAAAACACCTTCTTGATGAACCAACATTTGTGCAGAGGGCGTGTTTCTGCGGAGGAACCAACCTTCCTACAGTGACTGTAGATTCTCTCAGTTCCCCATGCAGTGAAATATTAAAAAATCACAACTCCTGTTTCCCCCGCTCTCGGGTGGCCAGGGAGCGGGGCCAGCCGGGCGGAGGGCTAACTCTGGGGAAAACGGGAGGCTGACGGTGTCGGGCGGTGGAGCAGAGGAGGGCAGGCGTCTTTGAATGTTGATGGAAAAACAGCTCTGGGAACTGCAGCAAAGGAAGATTTCGTTTTCAGATGTGTTGAAGAAAATGAGCATTTGGCTAAAATCTGCACCAGGCACTGCCTGGCGCGCGGGTCTATGGGTGACCCTCCGAGGGGGGCTCCCGCGGTGGAAACAGCAGCGGACCACAGGCAGTCTCTCCGGTTGGCAGAGGCCTTCCCGGCCTTCCGCGGTGGTGTTCCCTCGTGCGAGGATAGGAGGACGCAGGGCTGCTCACCCCGCAGCTGGCCGGAACCTGGGCCTCGGCAGCTGTGGATTTTGGCTGCCCTAGAGGCACAGGATCCGTGTGGCCAACGTCTGCCTGGCCCGCTCAGAACCTCCCCGCTGGAATCAGCCCTGCGGGTCCCCTGCTGGGCTGCGGCAGGTGCCCGCGCCGTCTGAGTCCCCGGGAGCAGGGGCGCCCTTGGAAATGTTTCCTGAGAAAGAAGTCGTTCACCTCTACCTGGGTCTCTGGATGAATTTTTCTGTTTTTTTTTTTTTTTTAATGCAAGAATTACTTAGCTGTTGGCAAACCCCTTCCCTCCTTTGAGAACAGCCTCGTTTCCAGAGAAGCTGTTGCTTTCCGGGAATTCTAAGATTCTCAAGATGCGCCTGCGCGTTGGGAGCCTTCCCATGGCCGTGGCCATCGGTCTGTGTTTCTGCACAAACAGCCGTCTGATGAGCTGCCAGACTTAAACCATTTGGGTTTCCAGTGATTTTGGACCTGGGGCAGGTTTCTGTCTGGGGGACTGGCTCCACATGCTGCTTCCTACACGTTGCCTGTGGAGAAGGCACCCCGGGGCTGCGGGGGCCCCAGCAGTACAAGCTGGGTGGGGGCGGTTGAAGGGGGTCATCCTCGAGCCTCTGCTGCCCCGGGCCAGGGAGCAGGGCGGGCGGGCCCAAAGCGCAGCTGGGCACCAGCATCCTCCAGATGGAGCCTCTCTGGCCATCGTGGGCGGGGGTGCTGGGGCTCCACTCCATGTACCCTTGGCCAAAACTTCTTCCCCAACCCCTTTGGACATAAATTAGGAGGTCAGTCTAGGTGGTTCCCCACTGTCTCACGTGATGCTGACGTTTCAGAGTGGGTGAGATCCCTGGTGTTTCGCATAGAAAAAGCAAGTGGGAAGATGAGGTAGAATTTTCCAGGTGCCCTCGGGGTTCTCCTCCGTGGGCAGAAAGATGTGCCCTCCCAGCACGGGGCAAGGTGGATCTCCGTGTGTGCTTATTGGATACGTGACTGGTGTGGGCGTGGACACGTCACTGCCCTCAGCCAGGTCCCCGATCACAGGCTTAGGGACACAGGTCAGCTTGGGCTACCAATGGCCGAATACCATGGGGGCTTGAACAATACAAATGTCCTCTCTTCTGGTCCCAGGGCCTGGAGGTCTGAGAGCTGGTTCCAGCTTCGGCCTCTCTCGCCGCATTGAGCTCTGGTGTCTCCTCCCCTCCTCATAAGGACACCAGTCTTCTGGACCTCATGCCAAATTCATCACCTCCCCAAAGGCCCCGTCTCCAAACGCAGTCATGTCTCCAGCATGCACATGTGTGCGTCTTTCTCTCCCTACTCCTCTCCATCAGCCCCCAGCCCCTGCCCCCAGCACAGGGCTTTCTGCTCTTCCACACATTTTTGCCAAATGCCAGGGTCTTGCCACTGAGCTGGCATGCTCGGACAGACGGACAGGGCATTCATCCTCAGTGGTGTGAGGGGACGACACTGGGCAGGAACTAAGATGCTCCGCCCGCCTGTCATCACGAGGACAGGTGCTCAGCAGAGACAACATGCATGGGACCATGTTCTTCATTTTGAGTGGACGGTACACGCGGGACACAGCAGTTCAGGGATGGGAAGCCTCTCTCCTGCTTCCTTCTTCCAGCTCCTCGTGCATGTTCAGCCGGAGATCATCCACCTGCACAAACACGTGGGCGCACGGGCTTTGGTTTTCTACCCGAGGGCTGGACTTCATGCCCTGTCCCACACCTGTGGCTTCACCTAGCTTATCTCGAGTCATTCCGTTTCAGCGAGTGCGGCTTTGCCTCCTTCCCTCCAACAGCTCATGTATCCCCAATGAGGATGCACCCCACTGGATTTGACCTGTTTCCTGCTGATGACATTGATGGGGTTCTGGGATTTCATGATTCCCAACAACGCTGTGCTCATGTCTTTGTACCCACTCGCACGGGGAATATGATTGCTGTGTCCAAGTGCTTTTTATTTTATTTTTATTTATTTTCTTATTTAGAGAGAGTGCATGCGTGCAAGTGGGAGGAGAGGGGCAGAGCGAGAGGGGGACAGAATCTTAAGCAGACTCCACACCCAGCATGGAACCGAACACAGGGCTCGATCCCATGACCCTGAGATCGTGACCTGAGCTGAAATCAAGAGTCAGATGCTCAACCGACTGAGCCACCCAGGCACCCCTCCAAGTGCTTTCTATTATTTTTTTAAAATTTTTTATTGTTATGTTAATCACCATACATTACATCATTAGTTTTTGATGTAGTGTTCCATGATTCATTGTTTGTGCATAACACCCAGTGCTCCACGCAGAACGTGCCCTCTTTAATACCCATCACCAGGCTAACCCATCCCCCCTCCCCTCTACAACCCTCAGTTTGTTTTTCAGAGCCCATCATCTCTCATGGTTCGTCTCCCCCTCCGACTTACTCCCCTTCATTCTTCCCCTCCTGCTATCTTCTTCTTCTTTTTGTTTTCTTAACATATATTGCATTATTTGTTTCAGAAGTACAGATCTGTGATTCAACAGTCTTGCACAATTCACAGCGCTCACCATAGCACATACCCTCCCCAATGTCTATCACCCAGCCACCCCATCCCTCCCACCCCCCACCACTCCAGCAACTCTCAGTTTGTTTCCTGAGGTTAAAAATTCCTCATATCAGCGAGGTCATATGATTCATGTCTTTCTCTGATTGACTTATTTCACTCAGCATAACACCCTCCAGTTCCATCCATGTCGTTGCAAATGGCAAGACCTCATTCCTTTTGATGGCTGCATAATATTCCATTGTGTATATATACCACATCTTCTTTATCCATTCATCTGTCGATGGACATCTGGGCTCTTTCCACAGTTTGGCTGTTGTGGACATTGCGGCTATAAACACTGGGGTGCACGTACCCCTTCGGATTCCTACATTTGTATCTTTGTGGTAAATACCCAGTAGTGCAATTGCTGGATCGTAGGGTAGCTGTATTTTCAACTGTTTGAGGAACCTCCATACTGTTTTCCAGAGGGGTTGCACCAGCTTGCATTCCCACCAACAGTGTAGGAGGGTTCCCCTTTCTCCGCATCCTCGCCAACATCTGTCGTTTCCTGACTTGTTAAATTTAGCCATTCTGACAGGTGTGAGGTGGTATCTCATTGAGGTTTTGATTTGGATTTCCCTGATGCCAAGCGATGTTGAGCACTTTTTCATGTGTCTGTTGGCCATTTGGATGTCTTCTTTGGAAAAATGTCTGTTCATGTCTTCTACCCATTTCTTGATTGGATTATTTGTTCTTTGGATGTTGAGTTTGATAAGTTCTTTATAGATTTTGGATACTAGCACTTTATCTGATATGTCATTTGCAAATATTTTCTCCCATTCTGTCGGTTGTCTTTTGGTTTTGTGGACTGTTTCTTTGGCTGTGCAAAAGCTTTTTATCTTGATGAAATCCCAATAGTTCATTTTTGCCCTTACTTCCCTTGCCTTTGGCGGTGTTTCTAGGAAGAAGTTGCTGCGGCTGAGGTCGAAGAGGTTGTTACCTGTGTTCTCCTTTAGGATTTGGATGGACTCCTGTCTCACATTTAGGTCTTTCAACCATTTGGAGTCTATTTTTGTGTGTGGTGTAAGGAAATGGTCCAGTTTCATTCTTCTGCATGTGGCTGTCCAATTTTCCCAGCATCATTTGTGGAAGAGACTGTCTTTATTCCATTGGACATTCTTTCCTGCTTTGTCAAAGATGAGTTGACCATAGAGTTGAGGGTCCATTTCTGGGCTCTCTATTCTGTTCCATTGATCTATGTGTCTGTTTTTGTGCCAGTACCAAACTGTCTTGATGATGACAGCTTTGTAATAGAGCTGGAAGTCCGGAATTGTGATGCCGCCAGCTTTGCTTTTCTTTTTCAATATTCCTCTGGCTATTCAGGGTCTCTTCTGGTTCCATACAAATTTTAGGATTATTTGTTCCATTTCTTTGAAAAAAGTGGATGGTATTTTGATGGGGATTGCATTGAATGTGTAGATTGCTCTAGGTAGCATTGACATCTTCACAATGTTTGTTCTTCCAATCCACGAGCATGGAACGTTTTTCCATTTCTTTGTGTCTTCCTCAATTTCTTTCATGAGTATTTTATAGTTTTCTGAGTAAAGATCCTTTGCCTCTTTGGTTAAATTTATTCCTAGGTATCTTATGGTTTTGGGTGCAATTGTAAATGGGATTGAC